ACTTCACACGTTCAATAATACTGTCAGTACTAACAAATGCTGACAATATTATTGATCGTATGTGGTTAATATTGATGGATTGATGTAAAATATTGACAGTGAGCTAGATTTCTTTATTTTCGAACATCAGTATCCCCTACAGCGATACTCATGTTTGAGAATCCGGATTACCGTCAATAATATTATCAGTGTTTGTTGATACTGACAGTATTATTGACTGTGCAATGTTCGTAATATGCAGAAAACTGAGCTGAAATATCAATAATAGTAATTGTGTAAGGTTGTATTGACATGATTTGTACTGTCAATGTCAATGATTCAATGATATTGATCAGTATTTTATTAATCGTGTGAGATTTGCATTAAATGTTGCATTAAATAAACAACACTGATCTTTAGTATTTACTGCCTTGATAAAAGCTTTATTTCAAGTTTTGCAGATAACAGATATAAATCAGTTTTACAGATTTTGTAACTTCAGTTTAGCTTAAAAGCCTTAAATATGACTTGCAAATGTTATCATTGAGCCAATTTTGATAACGAAATATTTGCACGTATAATCGATTCCACATTTGTCTCCTATTCTTTATTCCACATAGCCACAACCTCTTTTTTACCTCTTCAGTTTTTTATAAATTACGTTCATTCTATACATATATCGTAAAACTATCTGTACATAATTAGTAATCTCTGTGACTAACGATCATGTATAATTAAAAGTAATTATGTTACAGAAATATCTACTGATCTACTTTTAATAAAAACAAAATGATATTCCGTGACCCCTTTTTTTGTGTCTATTAATGTCATTATACATAATTTAAATAACTTATAATAAATTCATCAAGAAATGCTTATCATAAAAAATACAATTTATTCCATATTATAATATAACAATTTTACGTAAATATTTCCTTAGGAATTTAATAAAGAAAATCAGAGATTATTTTGAGTGTGTTATAAAATGAAGATCATCATAACGTTGACGTACGAGATGCACGAAAAAAAAGAAGTGACGAAGCAATGACCCATTTGAGTGAGTCAGGATCAAATCAAAATAGAATGGTGAATACTTTATTTTGTTATGAGAAATCAGAACAGAACAAGTCTCGCGTGGAAGAAGCCGGCAACCTCCGGCGAGCCGGTAATTGATTACGTCACGATGCCAAGAGGAGGACCACCCCGCTGGAGAACAAGAAGGAAAAGGAGAGGCCGACTATATAAGTCGAACGGGGTGGAAGAAGTCGGACGGATGATGAATGTGCTGTCTGAGCCGTCGCGTCAGCGAGGCTCTGTTGCCCGTTTGTAAACGAGCTTCCTCATTTTTTCGCGGCTACGTGCGCTGCCAAAAGTATCAAACTGTCTGCGCGCATTTGAAAACACTTCGCTCATCGATCCTCGATTAGCAAAATTCACTGACCGTTCGCGGTTAGATTAGATTTTCTAACATACTATATTCCTTTTTTTCACACACAAAGTAGAGTATAATCGTAAAACACGT